GTGTTTTGAACATATTTTTTGTATATTATACACAACTAGTAAGATTTTCCGCTAATGCCATAATAATAATTGGATTCCATAATGAAGATATCGTAGGTTTAGGATATGAAAAGTCGCATCAGCCGCTGTCTAGGTAAAACTGTATGTATTAAAAATGTACACAGTAGTATTTCAGTATAAACAATAGTATCATTAAAACTGTGAAAAAATACTCTGTTAGGTACTACAGGTTTAGGTTCAAAACCACCGATCATCCCCAACATGAAATTTAACTGGTAATTAATTATTCGTATAAAGTACCACGTGTACCGCTCTAATATTATTAGTAGGCATAATAATTACAACAAGGTAAATAAACAAAAATAAATTATTAGTGCCTAGTTTTGACTTTTCCGAGGCTTATAAATAACCATTAGTTAAGTACCCGCGCAATGCAAAGAAAGAGCTATTATAAAACCATTTAAGATTCATTCAAAAATTATATAAATATATATATATACATACATGTATATTTATTTCTGTGTTTGATATTTTCATTATTTGGAAATTAATTACTCGACCAGTAAGTATGGTTTAAAAAATATATATACATAGCACAGGGAAGGGAAGGGGTCGAAGGGATCACAGTTCTGTAGGAATATTAGTTACCTACCTATTATACTATGTGAATGTGACACAATAACTATTAAAACCCTAGGTCAGTCCGAACACACAGTGCAATATAAACGAATTGTAGTCCTAACTAGCCAAGTATGAGACCAAGTATACTCTTGACCAGCATAGTCCAGACCAAGCATACTCTGAATTAGAATACATTACCGAAATTACCAAAGTGGGGTCCACAGATTATCATTTGACAAAGTTCTAGATCTATTTTCAATTTTGAGCATTGGTTTTTAGGATTTTCAATTGTCTTTCGGGCCACCATAGGAAATACATTTCACTACAGATTTTTGACATTTTATTTATACTGCGTGTAACCGCCTTAGGGCTTAGATAGAAAAAATAAAATGTATGTACATTTTGTCTATTATTATAAAAATGTTTGTGTTTATAATATTTAACGGAGGACAATGCCTTTGTAGGTACCTACAATACCTACCATTGGGCATTGGCCGATAAATCATTTTTAAATACTAGCGATCTAATAAGCTGAGTTAATTTCGGACTTAATTTTCGGCTAGTCACGCTGGATTAAAAACAAGTTTTGAGTATTTTTAGATGCAATGGACGCGCAGGTTGTTAATGTTCAACCGCCTCTTGTTTCTTTATTTCTTTTTTTTTAATAATCGTAACATACCTACATTGGCTTAATTAGAAATACACGACATGTCCTTCTTGATTAGTTCTGTCGGTTCTAGTGGAATGTTTCGACTCCCGCCCCTAAGAGTCAAGTCGAATTACATCATTTCTTTCCTGTAAGATGAATTGTGTTAAATCGGGCATGTCGAACTCGATGAACCTATTATCTGGCGTTTTAAAACAATGTTTTACTTTTGAGAGCCTAGGCCACACTTTGGCAATCACAATAGTCATGTTCAATATCGCTCTCTTAGTAGACCATCATTTATTTTTAAATCGAAAAATCCGTACGATCAACTACATACGTTATTAATTCACACGCTTCCATGCCCATATTATATTATTATCAATCGCCGCCTACGACCCGCATAATACAAGAAGCAAACAAGAGTTATCGTTAATGTCGCCGTTTACGAGTACTCATAAATAATAATAACAGTAATAATTATAATCGGTTAACTGTACTGCCAACCACTATACGATCATCGGCCCTTTTTGTACAATAAAAACGTCAGTGGCAATTATTAGAATGTAAATATTTCCTTCAAGTTCCAACACATCTCCCCCGCGACTAAAGCCATATAATATTATATCGTATAAACTCTTCAAAGTAAATAGAACACTATACTACATCTGAACAGTGGCACTTTCTGTTTATAGGTGTACACGCGCTGTTTACGCTGGTCGGTGGATTTATTTTCAGTTGTAAGTAATATGAATATGTTTGTCCGCAGTGTCTGTTCTGCGCGTACATATGAAGTCATTATTCATAATATTATGAGTTACGACCATCGTCTAAATTAGATTGGGTTTACCTATTATGGGATTGGGTTTCAAAAAAAAAAAAAAAAAAAAATTAAAAACGCTCATTACATTTTCTTTGGTACTCTAAAATTGGTTTTTTTTTTAAGATTCAGGCTTGATTAGCCGAGGTCACTCATCCGGAAAGAAACGCGACAAAACTGCATCGCATCATTCCCTTCAATGTTAAAAAAATAATTTTGTAGAGATAATATTTCTTTTAGTTATAAAAACAGAATTTATAAAATTTCGGTTGAAATACTGACCAAATAAGATCGTAATTTACCAAATGAAGTTACAAAATCATTTATACGGTAATAAATAATTCAAGAGGATATATTGATTTATATAAATGATTTTAAAACCAGAAACACAATTTTCATTCCCCCCCCCCCTAAATATGGATGGTCGAAAAATTTAAGGATAAAGGCAAATTTGAATGCTGGTAAAAATATGTATAATAAAATATTGGTTAAAATATTAGTTGCGAGGTCCTGTTTGTTATAATAATATGTTTTGTTTTCAATTGCCGATCGTACAAAACAATCTACAGCAGCAATTATTATTCTCTAATACCATATTTAAGTATACAAGTATCCGTTTTATGATACAATTTGTGATAAAATTGTCATTATAAAACGGATATCGTTTATGGATAATAAACGGAGGTAGGTACCTACTAATAGGCTACCCATAAAATATATGTTATTCATTACAATTGTTTGTTTTTTATGAATTACAATAAAAAGTAATTCATTTTTGTTATTCTTATTTCTCATTATAATTGGCGGCTATCTAGCCGACATTTCTACAGCGGCCAAAGCACGATACCTTTTGACGGTTAATATATTAAAATTATTGTTTTACAGTAGCTGTGCCACAGGCCAGAGGGGGAGGAGTCGGGAGGTCAAAAACCTCCGAAGTGTCTACACTGCCACCCGTTGAATATTTATCACGAGGATTAGAAAACAAAGTATAATGACGTTATTAATGGGCGTAAAAATGTTTATTGAAATTTGGTTGAAGGGGGGGGGGGCTTTTGGCGTCCATTTCATTTGGAGGGGGTAACTTTTTATAACCTGTACAACTATACTACCTTTAAGAGAGAGTGCGAGCCTTCCCAGGTATTGTTTACACTCTTTTTAAACATGTTCAAAGTTATATTTACACGTTATTCACTTTTCTTGTACCTACCTAACAGTTTACGCTTAACTTGTATTTGATAAAGGACAATAAATGGTACAATTTCATCAGAAAATAGATTCACATTGATATTATTAACGTTGTTTTTTACCCAGAAAAAGTAAAAACAAATCTTGATCTCGGTCAATTTGATTGAAATAAAATGATCCTAAAGTCTCTAGTACCTAGTAAAAATGTTGTTAATTTCATATTTTTATTTTCTCAATTAAACTACAGAGACTTTTTTTTTCAATTTTGACATTGGCGATTTTGGATAATGTTGTTAAAAACTAAGAATTTCATAACAGGCTAAAATTATTATTATAAAATCCTGCGAGAATACCTACTTGTACAGTTGTACCTATGCATAACAATGTATTTCATACAATTTTAGACTTGAAAAACGTCACATAGAATGCCTATATGTCTCACTTGTCTTGTATATTATTTCAGTCTGATAAATTTACGAATATTTTTTGTCTGATCCATAACTTGAAAAGTTAAAATAATAGGTGAATTTTTTCACCAATAACTGGGGTGAATTTGTTTAGTTATAGAGTTATTCAAATAGACTGCAAATTAAGCTTTCGCTTATAATTTTTTTACTAAGCACTTGATTGTAGCATTTCTTTTGAAAATGAAATAAGTAAATTAAAATTTTTTTTTTTTTTTAATCAAGTAGTCTTCAGTACCCGATGAAGGTCTTGTAAATAATTTTATACGCAAGCAAGTATAAGTTTGGCCGACTAAATCTAACTTTACAATTGTTTTTATTATCAATAAAATGTGTTTATGGAGAATGAAAATTGAAAAATCTTTTGGAATCATTACTGCTGAATCTATGCCAAAATTCTGGGTTTTACATAAAATCCAAAAACGGTTGACAACCCAAATACCCGGGACTATCCGCCTATATCTCTCTCTGTGATCTGTCGGTTAAAAAAAAATCCTAGTCGCGTTAACTTGAAAGTTGAAACTGTCAACTGAATAAGGTCTATGCTTGCGAACCGATTCGATTGATACGTCCAAATGGCAATTTTTGTCCGTTACACCCGTTTTTATTAATAAAAGTAAGTCGGTATTTTTCTGTATTTGCCCAAAATAACGTGTGTTTAAGACACCGCGGCAATCGCAAGCGTAGAACGTGGTAATAAAAAAAAATATAATATATTAAACCGTTCTATGATTTATACGACTCTCGTATTATCGATTGGCTAAAACGGTAATAAATATCATTGGTGACGGATGACTAGTTTAATCATTGCTGCTATTGTGATGCAATCGTCGGTGTCGTTAGTGTCGTTATCTCGTTTGTTGATCATTGGTAATTTACCATTTAAATTTTAACATCTCAATCGTCGAACGATTTTTCTAGTTATAATTATTATTTGTTTTTCGGTCAAGTTAATTATTTTTGCCCAAGTTAATAATTATTTTTGCCCAATTACACGACAAAACGTTCTTTTTATTTCTCTCTTTCTCTCTCACTCCCGCCACACGCCAGTCACCACCGCCTCCGACATAGCCCCGTCGCGCTGTCCCCACCGTTATTTTTATTTTACTAGCAGCACCGCTGGCGCTACTATTCCGCCTGGTTCACTTATCAATTATTATTATTATTGTTGAATTTCGGCGAGGGACCAGAGGATTAAAAAAAAACAATAATATTATCATTGTAAGAGGATAATAATAATTAATAACAGTTAACGATCGTTCGGGCGGCGGCCGTCCGTAGTAGTTTCACAAAAGCACCAATATTGGTGGAAGAGTGACGTTTTCCGGACACGGGCGAAAAAAAATTCCATTACAGGCGTCGGTGGTCGCGGTATTTTGTAGTCCACTTGTGTTATTTTTTCTGAATCGTTTGTATTGTAATCGTTTATCCCCGTCAGTTTCTCATTCATTCTCCGGTAACGTGTGACGTGTGCGACGCGTTTTGCAGCCGTTCCGTTGCTCGACCGTTTTTTGTAAATCTCCCCATAAAGATAAAATAATATCGTAAGCGTTTAAATTGTTTTTTTCTTTTATCATTTTTTCCATTATCTGGCGGGCCGGCCGTATCTTGCCATCAGTACCTACCTAAAAAAAAACCACCGCACTTGTTGCGAACGCGCGTGTCCGTGTAAAACGTACTCGCTCGCCAAAACAGAAAAATTTATATTTAAATAATATATATATATTATTATTTTGATTTCAAGCGCAGACAAGATGAACAAAAAGTGTGCCAGATGCGACAAGACGGTTTATCCCATCGAAGAACTCAAATGCTTGGACAAGGTAATTAGAAATTTGTTGTCGATACGGCCCGCACGAGCCCTGCAAAGCTCTATTGAGGTCAACGCGACAAACGAACGGCAAGCGACAAGTGTTTCATTTGTTTCCTTTTATTTTTTTCAGGTATGGCACAAACAGTGTTTCAAATGTCAGTCTTGCGGCATGACGCTGAACATGAGAAACTACAAGGGATTTAATAAACAGCCGTTTTGTGAAGCGTGAGTAGCCCTATGTTTTTTGTTTTTTTGCTTCAGTTAAACTAAAACCAAAGGCGTTAAGATTGACTCTACTATCTTATTTTAAAAATTATAACACTTAAGGTACTGATAAAAAAAATTGCCGAAAATTAAAAAAAAAAAAATAAGGGTGACTCTTTTTGTGTTTACGATAAAACAATTACCAGAGCTTTATAACTTCACGGTTGTTCAATTTTATCATTATTCTTTTTAACGTCCAGTGGTTCTTCTATAAAATAACATTAAAACAGTTTTAGAGATTTTTTTTATTGCTACGCTATTTAGTTGTTTTATTTGTACAGTTTTTCTTTTTCAGTTGTAATCCATTATTAAAACATTTTCAATTCTTAATTGCAGCTATTTAATGTTTTCTTAAAAATGTGTTAGTAATATTTGGTCAACTCGTTGATGACACATTATACATTATTACGAGGTCACATTTTACCTTCACTTGTTTCCCCCCTGTGGTATGTGTGCAGTATCTTGAGATGTGACCAGATTTAAATTTGCAAATTCACTAATAAATTGGCCAATGTAATCTACAGCTGTTAGTTAAAGGGTATTTCATTCGTCATTTTATTATATATACTTCCGTATAATTTCTCAATGATACATTTGTAGTATTTGTAAATAATAACCTGCATAAGATTATAATTGATGATAATTCAAATTATATCTTCTTCATCTACTAAAAATAATGACTCCTTCTTAACAGATAAACATATTATAGTAATAGCTTGCAATCATAAAACAAATCTTTATTTGACAATATTAACACATTTTAAAACTCTGGGAATTTACTAATTGAATTGATAAAGACTTTTATCTGCAATACTAATTATCACACGCTGTTTATTTAGTGTTTTCCGATAACAATTATTCTAATTTATTTGATTTTAATATGAACTCACTAATTGAACTGATAAAAAAATGCATAATAATATTATAACTGAAGTGTATAATTGATTTATTAATGGAGTAGACAGGTATTTTGGAATAATGCTTCTTATTTATTTTGTTTTTTGTTTTTACACAATGTTTAACACATATAACTAAAATGTTTTCTCGAGTACAACGTATGCAAAGATGTATTTAATATTATACTTATTTACTATATAGCTTATTACCATAATATATGATATAGCTTTTGTCAAAAAGTTACAATTACCGGTATTCTATTTTCATAAAAACCATGACCGTAATCAGAACACAATATGTATGTTTAGAACAATTGGGCCTTAAATGGATATTATGTAAATTAACGAAAACTTTAAAACGTGCCTACCTAGTTAGTGGCCTAAAACATGAATACTGTTTTGGCTAACATATTTTATGTTTAAAAAAATTAGTGCAATTTTACCCCCAGCCAACTTGAATATTTTAGTGTGTATTGTATTCAGCGTCAATTATAATATATGTCACTGTAGAAATTAAAAATTCACAAATTAAAAACGATTAATCATAATTGACATACCTATTTAATTAATTTTGTTACATTTATTGGTAGAATTTAATATTTATACTTGAAAAAATTAAACGGCAAATAAATTTATAGCACATCATAATAATATAGACAACGAACTTCATTTAAATAGAGTTTACTGTAAAAGGTTAGAATGAATACTGAAAACAGTGTACAATTATGTAACTCCGAACGTCGGTAAACTAAAAGATAAGATAAGAATGTGTGTTTATTATTATTATTTATTAATTACATTTTTTATTACAGTAAACACTGTATATATACAAATAACTATATCAATACTATTTAACTAGTAACACATTATATTATTATTATGAACCTTTTGATTAATTTTATTATCAAACACTTAAAAAGAGTGGTAAAATATTTTCCAGTTGATACGAGTACCATATAGCTAAATATCAACTTGGCCATACTTGTTTAGTTTTTTCCTGTAACATCAGCATCAACAGTTGTGTTTAATAAATTTTTAACAACATACTATTTTATTGGCAGGCACATACCAAAAGCGAAACACACAACTGTTGCGGAAACACCGGAATTGAAAAGGATTGCCGAAAATACAAAGTTACAATCTAATGTGAGTATTTATTTTTACTCTGTACGATTGACGTGTAAAATTTTATTAGTAATTACACGACCAACGTAATAAAAGTATTGAAGTATACAAATAAAATATCTAATACACATCACATGATTACATGCCATCCATTTTGGATAGTTTATTTTCAGTAAGTAAAATAAAATTTAATTTTTGTTTCTTAAGTAAGTACTACATTTGTGTGTGGCGTACAACATACTTGGTTCTGTACTCATTAGAAAACATAATTCTAAAGGCTAATAGTACATGGACAAGTTTCGGTCTTTAGAAAATTCGATTATTTTTCAATATTATTTGTACCTTGTCGATACATTTTAAACAGAGTTTTGTTAACTTGTTTTGATCATTCTAGGCTAAATATCATGCAGAATTTGAAAAAACTAAAGGAAAATTAACTCAAGTGGCTGACGATCCCGAAACATTGAGAATAAAAGCCAATTCTAAAATTATAAGGTAATATTGTACATATACTTTGTATCTATGCTATTACTTAGTAATAAAACCCAACTGTGTCAATATTATTTGATCACCGCTGTGTGATCAACACAATAACGTTTTTCAGAAACCAAAAGGTTAATAAGGTCAGACGTTTATGATTTCTATAAAGACGTAGGTGTTTTTCTTTTTGAAAAAGTGTAATCAATTAAATATTTCATTTAATTAGACATCATTCGGTGTTAATGGTTTTTGTCGTATTAGAAAAGATAAACTCTGCACAAATATCTAGTACTCTATAATACAAGAGGAAAATATGCAATTTTTTTTTTAGAAATACCCTATATATATTTTTTTTTCGAGTTTGGGACAAGGTAACCATTTTTTTAAAGTTACATTTTTTTTCGTTTATATTAACGATTTGTAAGTGCTTATTTGGATACTTATGATACTTATTCTGATGATTTTTAAGTGCTTTAAGTACCGAACCCTGGTTATCTGTTATACAAACAAAGGGTGGAACTGAAAATGATATAGGAAGTAATGTAAACAATTAAGTATATAGTTGAAAGAGCCAATGGGGTTCAGAGGTGTTTTGTGACAGAGACCATTATGGCGTGAATAGGAAGTTTTATAAAACTGTTAATAAGGCCAGCGTTGAAAAAATTCACATGGAGATGCAATAATTATAAAACATAATACTAATACAAGGACAGTAATAACAACGATTTATAGCGAGGCAATGTACTCAATTTAATTCAAATAAAATTGCGACTTTTGTTCAAATGACACTTACTTCTAAAATATCTGGGTATAAAAACCTAGGTTCTTTGGATTTTATATTAAATTAATATTTTATACTTTAAAACCAATTATTTGTACAATATTTTTATTTTGACATCTATTTATTCATGTTATATATTTTCAAAGTTTTTAAATGGTATGACTTAGTTATTATTGAAAATCCAAATTTTAAAATTAGTTCACAATTTTAGCTATTTTGCTATTCTATGCTTAATCAACTCAATGTTAAATAATCTATTTTGGTAGTACAGAAACTCCAAAGGCTTTGAGAAACTTGTCACGTTTATTATAGATAAAAAGTAAAGTGAATATTATTTACAACCTTATGGTTTTTTTGTGATCTTATGTATGTATGTATGTATACAAAGATTCCTTCAAATAAATTTTAAATAAAGATTTTGTTATGTTGGCCAATATTTTAATTATTAACAATTTAATAATTTACAGTAATGCGTCCTATCACGGAGATCTGTTGAAGAAAGCCGAAATGGAACAACGTAGAAATTTAAATGGTAACAATGCAACAAATGATGTTCCGGGTAAATATTTTTTGTAATGTATAGAAAATGAAAAACCAAGTTTATGTATTTTTGTAAATCTTTTTTTTCCAGTTATAAAAAATGTAATCGTTAGTAAACAGACTTCAAATTACGACCCGAGTGCAGTGAAACCGAATATTGTGCAACAACAGAACTACAACACTGGCAACAACAACAACAACAATAGGTATTCTCAAAAAAAAAATGATAACGTGCAGCAGCAGCAGCAGCAGCAGTATCATACTAGAATAGAAGAACCAGCTAAAATTCCTGCATGTTTGAACCGTCAAACTTCTACTTTAATTTATTCATCAGATGGAAATACGGGTAAGTTAAAACAAAATTATCGATAAAGTTTGCTAAAATTTAACTACATTAAGCATAAACTGTGCGTTATCTCAATAATGAAATATTATGTTTTGAAGCTATAAACTTAATACAAGTGCTAATTATCGAGTGTATAATTAATTGTTTTTTAAACAAATTTTCAGTTCCCAATTCATATAATCATCACATTGGTTCGATAGCCGATTACGATCCAATGCAAAAACAACAGTCGTATGGCAATGTAAAGTATATGAATAATTCAGAAAGCCATAATTTTGGGGTATGTAAAGTTAAAAAAGAATATTTTGTAATTCTCAATGTACTTATAAGTAAGGGTTTTATTTAATGTGAAAATGTGTTGTCAATAAAAATTGATAAACGGAGAGCAGCGAAAACTTTAGAATAGTTAATAATTAACTATTATTATTATTTAAATGTTGCTCTTCTTTGTTACTACAATTCGTTGACCAAAAACGGCAAAATACAAGCACTTACTTTTATTTTTACTTAAAATTAACTTCCCAAAGTTTCATCAACATCTGATAATTGATATGACTTTGGTTGTGTAGATACCAACAGTTCTGTTCCTAATCAACCGTATCGCTGAGCTTATTCCTATCCACTGCTGGAAGTGGATAGGTAGCCTATTCTAGCCTAGTCTAGATGAGCAAGTACATTACAATTTAGTTAGAGGCGTCAGATGTCTAATTATCCGAAATCCATATTGTATGCCTGATATTTGGTCACTTTCCGACATCTGACCCAAACTATTCATAAACTAATGTTACATGTTTGAACCATATAACCCTGTAGTAAATTTTGATTCCTTATGATAAGTGTGCAGAGTTTGTCAATGTCTGTTCTGCAGTGTACAGGAAATTTAACATGATAGCTCTAGTTTCAATCTTGCTCTTGACACCTTACCCGGAAAAAAAACCAAACAAAAATGGTTCTGATTAACAGCTAGTTTGAAACAAGAAACTATATTAAACTTGTATATAATCACAAAGTGTAGACTTTATTAGAGCAAAGACACGCTGTTAGGCACTCGCTCTACAATATTCTTTCTTATTTATTCATTAGAAATAGATGCCTGAAAAGACATAAGGTATAGTTTGCTAAAACATATATATATATATATATATATATTATAAATAATATAAAATAAAACTACTACCAATACATCATTTAATTTGGAACATAAATAACTTAAAATTAAAATAAAGTGCAAAGTATAAAAACATGAATGCACGACTTTTAAAAAATACAAGTACAGTTTAAAACTATAAATGTTGGAAGGTTAGAAAGCTATCCTGAATTTATAATAAAATAAATATTACCTGTTATGTGTTTAAAACTATTTTATTAAAATCACAATGGCTAAAATATATATGATATATATATATATATATCGATGTTGTGTCATATAATATCTAGGTTGGTACATTGTTATAAAACGTTTTGAACGGGACGAGTATATTATTAAAATTTAAACTTTACTCACTTTTGTTTTCTTGACATATTTTTATTCTCACAACTGCACTATAGTTTATTAATTAAATAAAAATCTATCAGATTTAATCTATTATGTAAACAAAGTGTAAACTTACTTACTAAATTCTGATTTTACGACAATTAATTTAAACATTTTTTTTTTTTAGAGAGTTTACCGAGCAATGTATGATTATGAAGCTCAAGACCTCGATGAAGTTTCATTCACCGACGGAGATCTGATTGTAAATTGTGCAGCTGTTGACGACGGTTGGATGACCGGTGTCGTCCAACGAACAGGGAAATCTGGTATGTTACCAGCAAATTATGTCCAGCCGGCAGCGATTTAAATGTCAAAGGAGGCAATCATTATGATTTGTTGATGATTTTATGGTTAAAAAAAATAATAAATAAACAGAAGTTTATAATTTTACTCTCATCTACACTAATTTATAAAACTAAAATTATTATTAGTATTAGGAATGTTTAATACTCAATTATATTAAACTAAATAAATAATATTAATTGTGATATCTAAGAATTTTCCAATAAATGTATAATTTGATAACTTAATTTTTACTAAGGCAGCTTAATACAACGAAATATTAATCATTCCAACGATATATTTAGTGAATTTAACTTGTACATTTTAATTAATAATATATATTATAATCAATTTTTTTTAAATTTTATTTACGTTTAAAATATTATTTATTTGCCTTTAATTGCCAAAATTTTGAGTATAAAAATATTATAAATAAATAATTCAGGCAATTTTGCTGTTTTAAATTTGTTTTATGAGTTATTATTTTATTTGTTAAAAAATATGTTTTTTAAATTAATGTTTAACTCGCGAGAAATCACATTTCTATTAGTAGATTTACTTGTTTGCATTGATTATTAAACATTATATAATGTTCTATTGCTTAAGTTTTGCTAAACACCAGTATTTAAAATTCAAACCATATATATATTTTTTTTAGTAACATAAGCTTATATTTTACTACAACCATACATAATATTAATTATTATTACTATTATCAAACTATAGAATTATATATATATATATAATTTTTTATTTGATTGTTTCAGGTAGCTACAAACTAGTTTACTTTCCTTTAATTTCACCTTGTATATGTTAACTATTACATTACTTTTTAGTAAATAATAACTTTTGTATAACTATTAACTATTTATGTTTTATTGTATTGTTAAATACTTGTGGCCACTAAAGTGATTACATTTCTTCACACTTACCTACACCCACACACACACACATATATATATATACTATATACTTTTATAATATATTATATATTTTATTATATTTATACCAGTATTTTACCAGCTTTGTTTTAAATATTTTTTTATTACCATTATATTGTGTCATGTGTGTCTACTTCCGATTATGAAATTATTTGTTCTTAATGTATGTTATTTTGAAACTATGACGCAATCGTTATATTTTTTTAATCCCCTCTCCCTCCCCCGTCTTATTTTTAAGACTTAATGGGTTATTAAATAAAATATCAATATCTATTTGAATATAAAATTTGTAAACACCAGCAGTAAGATGTTGCAAAAAATTGCGGTAATTTGGTGAAGTTTAAAAGGTCGCTCAACGCGATTTAACACAAAATTTAGGTGTTAATTTGCGCAATTCTTTGTCTAAAACTAAAACTATTCAATATTTTCGGAATCTGACGGTTTAAAATACAGCTTATTTATTTTCAACAGTTAAAATATTATGCTTATGTCTGTCGTTTTCGAACTTACATTCAGTATAATTGTATTATTTTTACGTAGGTATTGATTAAACTAAAAAATCGTTGTCGCTCGTTTAATCATCTCTGAAAAGGCTTCAGTAAGTAATTCTTCGTTAGCTCTGCCATAATTTGTAACAATTCAGGCAGTAATTATAAAATAATTTTCAGAGACCACGTTGATATATTATGGGGTGGATAAGTAAATATTTCATATCATCAATTGATGAATTACTTACTGAAGTCATTCGGTATTAAATCGTGTTGAGCGACCTGTTTGACTTTACCAAATGACCCCAAATTGTAATTAACTTATTTTTTACTTAACTTATTTTATACAAAGATTTATAATTGTACGTTAGTAGTGGGCGAAAAAAAAACATTTTTACTTAAAGTAAAAATATTTTTACTATTGTTCCAGTCGTCTGAATTTTGCCAAATTGGCGAACGTTAATTTGTGAACAATTAAACAAACTTGATAGTTTGATGATAGTCACGTTTGACTCGTGTGTTCCCAATCAATCGATCAAGGTTCCTTTTTTGACATTTTTTTATTTGATTTATCTAACTAATAAAATGAACATTGAAAGTAGGCAGTGAAAATAATTATCGTTGATTGAGACGGACAAATATAAGGAATTTATTTTTTTTTTTTTTTGGTCGGGATGGGCGCCACCTTAATTTGCTTTGGGCAGTAAAACTTTATTGTGCACACTTAAAAACGATCAAATTCATATTATCTTTATTCGACTTCGACATCACAGGCCATTAGTCGCAGAAAAATTAATTATATTGATTGACAATAAAGATTATTTACTAAACTTTATTCTATTCTAATAAAAAAACTTTTTACAAATCATAATTTTTTTTTTTTATCATATTTTTTTGTACAAGTCAGTCTTTTTTAAGAACCATAGCATTTTGAACACATTATGTCACTCTGGCCCCAACGACTCGTTCAGATGTACAGGTAGTTTGAATTGCTGTCGGTCTAGCTAACATTTTTGGCACTCGGTGAGGACATGTTTGAGACTCCAGTCTCCAACTATTTTTGTACAAAAACGGTGGGTATTATTAATATACATTATTAATTAAGAAACTCACCAGCTTTAGTGTAAAGGTACAGTTTTACAAAACGAAAGATGGTGGTGACATCCGTCTAAATGTTGACATTGGCGATTTTTCATAAAATTATAAAAACCTAAGCTTAAGGACGTTGAATTTTTAAAATTTTCATAGGTTTACAATTTAGCTTTGTCCAAAATCGTTCATCAAATTCACCTGATAAATTATAGATGAAATTGTTCAGCTACGAATGTGCAATATTTTTACTTTTATAACATCATCAAACAGCCAAAGGTCAAAGTTTTTGTCTCTGTACATTTAAAATTCTCTCTAAACATTAATGACAGTTGTATTGTTTTTAAGCAAACACAACTTTAACTAAATTGCGGCTATATCCATTTATTCCATTTGTCTCTAAAATAGATATAGGTAATAACAGTTATCTACATACACTACTCGTACGTAACGTTATTAACGGAAGGGGTGCAGATGTGGTAGTAAAACTAATAAGCGAAAAATGATTACTTGTGACACGCCACGATAGCGTTGTTATTTCTCGAAAAAAGTAGTGCAAACAATAAAAAAAACGGAAAAAATGCTAAGGTTGCGTTGAGTTTTCCCGGTCATGCGGCCTGTAGGAATTATTATTTTATTTGTAATAGTTGTTAAACATAATATTGTTTGATAATAATTATTATAGTGGTAACCGTGAAAAATAAACTGCAGCAAAAATAACTCAGATACCTACAGACCATAATATATTAGTTAATAACCCACCACCCCACCGTTAAAAAACGTATTGATGACCCTCGTTGTTAACTCAAATGCATAACTTCAACCGAACTTAAAATGCGGATAATAAAAGTAAAATAGTACAAACAGTTTAGGTGACTAGTATGTATTTTCACGCCTAATAAACAAAATTCATTATTATTCTGTAATGAGAAGAGGGGTAAGGCCGACATGTGGGGTGGCCAAGCCAGTATATATTTATGAGGGTACATATATTTTTTATTACTTTTACAAAATATTTAAAAAAAAAAAATGTTTTTAAAAATGTTCGTACTGGTCGTAAACGAGTTTTCGGTACATTTCCAATTTTAGAGTTATTTCTGTCGAAATAAGTAGGATAGCTTTTCCCAATCCGTCAAAAATCAACTAGGTAATTTAAAAACAATTTTTAAGCTATCAAAATACCTTTACAGTGGCTGTTTTTTAATTTTGAAAACAAATAAAACATTTTATAGTACAATTGTTGTATTATCATCCTCTCAGTGCCCATATTATAACAGAAATATAACATGTTAAAATACATTTAACTTAGGTGGAGCCCTATAACTATTTAATAGATTGTTTGTCTACGCGTTGATGTAATGTTTTTTAATATAATATACTTGTTTACTAGTTTTCCAAAATTCCTGATTTAATATAAAAAAGTGTATACTAAATTTTTTTTAAAAATTGGGTATATAAGGGTTAGCTGATGTATAATTGCTATTTTACTTCATTTATTTTAAGGTAATTTCTTTCTTTTTGTACGTTGAGTTGAGTTATAAACTCAGTGTCATTTTAATAAATAAATGCATATTTTTTGGTAATTAAAAAATAAAATCAATTTTGAGCTTTTATTCGGTGCTAAGAAGGTAGTGAGTACCTATTGTAAAAACATGTTTGTGCCTAAACTCACGGGGTTTCCCAAGCCGAATGAACTCATGAATCAATTTCTTCACGTAGAACGCCTGTAGATCACTGATCAGAAATCGTATATGAAGTGTATTCAAAAATTTAAAAAGTCATCGTTAAAAACGAGATACCCAACACCTAAGAAAATTATATATTTTTCAATTTAAAATTATGGCCATTTTAATTTTTTTTTTTTTTTTAAATCAAAATAGTTAAAAATTGATATGGTATATTCCTTAGATTTACTACCATCGATGTACGTTGATAAACCAAAAAGATATTTAAAATATTTGCCCCTTAGAGGAGTGGAAACTTTTTTTTAATTTCTCTACCTTAGTGTTGTTACTTAAAAAAAAATTAAGAAGTAAGATAGATCTAGAATAGGCTAAAACATACTTATACACTTTTCTAAACAAACTTGCTTTATTATGGAAAAAAGAAGTAAATTACATTTTTAATCGCATTACATTTCCAGGTTGCTTTGTGTAAACTCTTAGAATAATTATTAATTTCTACAGAACTTTTTTACACCGGTAACACTATGCTCCGTCATCACTTATCCCCGACCCCATTGTGCTGCCTTTTTAGTTTTTTTTATCTATAAACCTAATTGTTTATTATTACTGATTAAAAATGCTCTTTTATCAGTCAAAACATTAAATACAACGTATAAAAGTTAAAAAATACTAAAACTAAACATGTACAATATATTAAGATTAAGCGGGTACAGTGTAGTATTTTTGTTTTTAATATTTGTATGTGTGCGTTAGAGGGACAACGTTAGGGTTGGATTAAATGGGGTGATCATAAAGGGCACTTTTATGCTCCAGGCGCCAAATATCCTGGACCCGACACCGGGTTAAAGCTTGAGCATTATTTATACACATATAGCTACAGTGTTTACTGTATAGCGTATACTCTGTTTGATATTTCTATGTTATGTACGTTTTAGAATTATTCCGAAAACTGCGGTTAAAGCAATACGGATGCATTTGTCCCTTTCTCCGACTATTAAACATTTTACAGTCGTAGGCACTTAATTTTGCTTGTACAGTATGGTAGTAATGAATAATTGAATGAAAATAAAACGCAATCATAAATAAATGCGTCCACTTAAAACAAAATAATGTCCAGTCGCTAATAGTTGTACCTAAATAAACCCCGCCAGGGCTAGATTTATACACGTTGTAATACTGGTCGATCAAATTCAGTAGAAAGCTAATTGCAAAATATTTATGGTGATAGGATTCAAATTTAAGCACGAACAATGATGTTTAGTATAATAAAAGTCTAGAAAATTGAATAACAGGCAGTAGTTTTTTAGATATGTAGATATTATGTATAGTATTTTGGGTTGTAGACGTTTTCAGGAAAAACAAATAAAAAATTATTTTTTTACTTTAACAATAAGTATGCATAAAACTATAATTTTTTGGGGTGCTGAGTCTCTGTAGTCCCCCGTTTTTTGTCATGTTGCTATTTATTTTACTTTTAAAAGTTATAACCCTCTGCAAGACGTTCTAAAAAAAAAAAAACATTTTTACCTAAATGTCATTTTTAATTATTCAAAAGCACGTCCACAGACGATCCGACAATTATTAGTATTTGGATTACAAGGACAACGGCGTGACGGGCGGCGACGTTCCAAGTTCGGCGGCTTCGGTTGCGGCCGGCGCCCAGCCGAAAGCTTCATATTATTATTATTATTATTATTATGAGTAGCGGTAGGTACTACCCGTATGTGGCCGCGTTGCAGTTTAGTTTAGTTGTTTGAATCAATACTAGGTGCCGCTACTCGCTCAAAGTTCGTGTAGCTTTTAATCAATGAACGGG